CCAGCCTCTCAGGGGTCCCCGCTCGCTCACAGGAAACAAGCCACTAATGAAACTGACAAGCAAAAAGCGTAGATTTGATTCGGGTCACCTCAGTCCTTGTGGCCACCTGATTCAGGCCCAGGTGGACTCGGGTGCACAAAGTCCGGAATCGACCTTCCTTCCTTCCTTCCTTCCTTCCTGCCTGCCTTCCCTCCCTCCCTCCCTCCCTCCCTTCCTTCCTTCCTTCCTTCCTTCCTTCCTTCCTCCCTTCCTCCCTTCCTTTTTTCTTTCTTTCTTTCTTTCTTTCTTTTTCTTTCCTTCCTTCCTTCCTTCCTTCCTTCCTCCCTCCCTTCCTTCCTTCCTTCCTTTATTTCCCTCTTTCCTTCTATTTATTCTGAAAGATTTCAAACCTAGAGGAAAGTGCAGAATGGTGAACAAAATCCCCACACTGTTGCCCAGCGCCCACCATGTCACCTCCCACCCGGAATGGCCTTGTGTAGATACCTGCACCTCGGTCCTAGTTATTTTGAGCAGATCATTTCACTGTGTTTCTAGAGGACGAGGGTCCTTCTCTCTCTCCCCACAGACCTTTATTTTCAACATTTCAAACCCACAGACAAACTGAAAGGTTCCTACGCTGGTTACCGCCTGCCTGGAGTGCTACGGTCACGTGCTCCCCACCGTCTCTGTCTCCCTGTCTCTCTGTCCCTGTCTCTCTCTGCGTGCACATACAGATACTTGTATTTTCCCTGAACTGTACAAAGCAGTGACACCCCTAAGTACTTCTGCAGGCGTGCCCTACAAACAAGGGCACTTCCTTTGTGAGCACACGGCCATTAGCACATCCAGGATGCCTAGCTCCGATGACACATGACCTGCATGCCTGAGCAGCTAGCATGTGGACCATCTTTGACTCTCCACAAGTCTGTCACTGTCACCCATTACATTTTTTAAAAACCCAGCACCCCTCCAGCGATGACACACGGCATTTGCTGGTTACCTCTGTTGCCCCCGCTAACACATAGGGGTTGTTTTTGAGGAGATGACACACTGTTACCACAGAAACAGGGTGGAGAAGCTTCGTGCGGGTCTGTTGCTGTCATGCCGTCTTCAGTGATATCCAGGCTTTGCCCATCAGCTCCTGTCTGTCTGAGTCGGGGTCTGGACATTGCGGGGGCTGGAGACGTTGCTTAAATCTGTCTTAATCCATGGCTCTTCTGGGCTGCCTACCTTGTAAGGGTTTCCTGTCTGGATTGTGATGGTTGCTTCTTTGGGGCGCCGCTCCATCTGAGGTCACGGCCTGGTCAGACTCCAGGCGGACAGTTGGCAGTTGCCCCTCATGGAGTATGTGCTGCATCTGCCCCCAGCTCTCTTGTCACATACTTCCTCGGGGCACTGGGGAGTCCCCAGCTGTGCAGGGGCTCAACTTAAAAGGCTTGGATCAGGAGAGCAGCTTTCCCAGGAGCTGGGCAGAAGCTCTGGCAGGGCGGCACTGTGGAACCAATCCCCGGCCAGGTGGAGGTGGCTCTGGGAGCCAGGGGCAGGTCTGCCGCGCCCAGGGCCCGCTGGCAGTGAGCAGGGCACATGGGTTTCCCTGAGGAGAGCGGGTGTTTTCGGGAAAGAAGAGAGCAGGCGCCCAGGGGGCGGGGTTAGGCTGAGGGAGGCGGGGCCTGGCTGCGCCTGACCCAGTGTCCCCACTGGCGGGCCCACAGGCATGGCGAGGCACGCTCGCGAGGTGGCGCTGCCGGCGACTGCGGGCCGTCTACACCATCATGCGCTGGTTCAGGAGGCACAAGGTGCGCGCTCACCTGGCAGAGCTGCATCGGCGGTTCCAGGCTGCGAGGCAGCCCCCACTCTATGGCCGCGACCTTGTCTGGCCACCGCCCCCTGCTGTGCTGCAGCCCTTCCAGGACACCTGCAAGATGCTCTTCTGCAGGTACCTGCCCTGGGCCAGTCCCCCGCCTTTCCTACTCAGCTAGTGGCCCTGAACACCTGGACCTGGTCACCTGAATCTCTCGGTGCTGGCTAGAGACACACCAGCCCCATCTAATAATCAGCAAAGGGGCCGGCGGCTGTGCCCATTAGCTGGCTGCCCAAGCCCCAGTCAGTGGCAGAGCCCTGCTGTCCCCAGCACCCTGCTGGGCATTCGGAGGGGCACAGGCCTGCGGGGGACCACAGTGGGCGGATGTAGGGAATGGGGAAACTGCATCTGAGCTGGGCTTCGAGGGTCGAATAGTTTTGTAGGGAGAGGGGCACGGATCAGCCAGCGTGCTGAGAGGGGAAGGGTGGCTGTGACACAGGGCAGCCAGTGCCAGGCTGAGGGGCCTGGCCTCCGGCAGGGGAAGGGGCGTGACAGGGCATTAAAGTGTGTTTTGGGGTCAGGACCAGAGGTGGGGAAGGCGAAGGCTGCACAGGGCCCATCTGAGCACCTGTCCCTCTCCAGGTGGCGGGCCCGGCAACTGGTAAAAAACATCCCCCCTTCGGACATGGCGCAGATCAAAGCCAAGGTGGCTGCCATGGGGGCGCTGCAGGAGCTGCGGCAGGACTGGGGCTGCCGGCGGGCCTGGGCCCGCGACTACCTGTCCTCGGTGAGTGTGGGGGCTGCTGGGGCCGGGCGCCGCGGAGGGCCTCAAGGCCGAGGCCTGGGCTTGAGGGAGCATCTCCTCCTCTCCGTACGCCCACGCCCCTGCGCCTGTTCTCAGGCCCACCCCTCTTCTCAGACACAAACCCCCCTTTTCAGGTCAGCCCCGTCCGGCCCCCTAGCCATGACACCCCAGCCATGGCTTCCCTTGGCTCTCACGTGGGCGGGCCGGGTGTGCTAGCCCCTGTCCCTGGTCTGCAAGAGATGCAGGCTCAGGGGGCGGGGCTGGCCCAGGTGGGCGTGGCATGGAGGAGCCGGGTCCGCAGGCCGGTGCGGCGGGCAGAGACCGATGCCTAGAACCGTGGGCCCCGGGTCTGCGCCGGGCGCTCAGGGAACCCAGTGTGGTGGGTGACCATGGAGGCGGGTGCTCCGCCAACTCGGTTTCCCGAGGCGCAGGGAGCTGTGCCGGGAGCTGAGAGCCGAGAGCGGCTGTCGATCGAGCGTGGCCCCAAGACCCCGTCCCAAGCTGCCCCCTCTGTGCTCAGGCCACGGACAACCCCACCGCCTCGGGCCTATTCGCTGAGCGCCTGAAGACGCTTCGGGACAAGGACGGCTTCGGGGCCGTGCTCTTCTCCAGCCACGTCCGAAAGGTGAGAGGTGGGCGCGGGGGTGCGGGGCCCAGCCCAGGCCCGGCCTAGAGGTGTCACAGCTGCTCCTGGGACTTCGGAAGTGGTCAGCTGTAACCCAGGCAGGGAGAAAGCGGGCCGGGGAGGAGGGCACCCCGGCGGCGCGTGACCCCCGAGAGCGACTGTCCCGCAGGTGAACCGCTTCAACAAGAGACGGGACCGCGCGCTGCTGCTCACTGACCGGCATCTGTACAAGCTGGAGCCGCGCCGGCAGTACCGGGTGATGCGGGCTGTGCCTCTGGACGCGGTGAGCTCGCGGGGCCCTTCTGCCTGCCTGGGAAAGCCAGAACTTTCTAGAACAGCCTCAGTTCAGCATGGCCGCACCCCACCCTCCCTGGGCTGAAGCCTGCTTGGCTTCCCGGGGGCGCAGCTGCTCCTCCCACTCTGCCCTCTCCCCAAACCTGGGCCGGGTCGCATGGGCCCAGACCGCCACCCAGCTCTGTGGCACAGTGGTGCCTGGAACCGCAGCTCCTGTCCCCAGGGCAAGGACTGCTGGGAGCAGGGACCAGGCTAGGTCCCTCTGACTGTCCAAGCGGGCGGGGGCATCTGGTCCGTAGCCATGACACGTGTGGCTACTCAGACGGAATAAAAGGACAGAAAAATGAAAGGTCAGCTCCGCAGTCACGATGGCACATTCAGGTGCTCCAGACCCACAGACTGGTGTGTCGGGTGTGTCTGCCACTAGTGTGGCAGAGGGACAGACGGTGGAGCCCGGGCGGGGGCTCAGAGAGGCTGGGTCCTGCCGGGGTGCGGGGCTGGGGTACAGAGTCGGGAAGAGGGCCTGCCGCCCCCTGACCCTGACCCCCATCAGGTGACAGGACTGAGCGTGACCAGTGGGCGGGACCAGCTGGTGGTGCTCCACGCGCGGGGCCAGGACGACCTGGTGGTGTGTCTACACCGCTCACAGCCGCCACTGGACAACCGCATTGGGGAGCTGGTGGGCGTTCTGGCTGCGCACTGCCAGGGGTGAGTCAGGAGGGCAGCTGCGGGTCCGGGGTTGCACCCCACCCCCACCACCGTTCCTGACCTCCCTCCTGCCCGCTTCAGGGAGGGTCGCGCCCTGGAGGTCCGCGTCTCCGACTGCATCCCCCTGAGCCAGCGCGGTGCCCGGCGCCTGGTGTCGGTGGAGTCCACAGCGGAGCAGCCGGAGCCGGACTTCCGCTGCCGCCAGGGCACCTTCACCCTCCTGTGGCCCAGCCGCTGAGCCCGCCTGTCCGGCTGCAGCAAAGACTCGGCCCCACGGAAGTGAAGGCGCCTCTGCCCGGCCCGCCCCCGGCCATGGGTCCCCCCATCCCAGCGCCGGGCAATAAACAATGCTGCACCTGTCTCCGAGTGGGCTTGTGTCTGTGAGCGGACATCTGCCACTGCCACGCCAACTTGGCAAATGGCACCCCAGCGTCCTCTGCTGACTCCTGCGGGGTCACTCGAACTGGAGGCGGCGGTCTGAGGGCCAGTCTGGTGGGGCCCAGCCTAGGGACTGTGGGAGGTGGAGCCCTGGTCTGAGGGGACACTGCATTTCCTCCCTGGGCCGCCCCCACCCTATGCGGCATTGAGACGGTCCCTCCGCGGAGACCCTTTTCCCCTCCTCCAGGACTCCTGGCCTCGTTCCTACTGGGCCACTGGGGAGGCTGGGGGTCCCAGCACACACACTGTGGGCACAGAGCAGGCCCCGCCTACTGGCTGGAGGCACATGCTGCCCCAGCTGCTGCCTGTCTGTGCTGGGTGTGGGCATCCCGGGCCTTAGGAAGCCCACCTCTGAGGGGAGCAGCCAGGACCTCCCACAGTCTGTGAGCCTGGCCTGTGTCTGGGGCTTCTCAGGAAGCCAGTGAAGAAAGGCCAGAGTGGACACAGCCTACCGCCTAGCCAGCAGAGCCCCCAGCCCCCAGGCCTTAGCCCCTCTCCAGTCCCTGGCCTCCAGCCCCCAGCCCCTCCCAGCTCCCCCATCCTCTCCTCCCCCACAGGTGGCCCCTCTGCTCTCGGGGGCTCCCACCCTCCTCCCCTGCGCCCTGCATTCAGGGGCAGCCTTGCTTGGCTGCGCCCTCTTGGTGTGGAGGGAGGTCCACATCTGCTGCAGTGGCTTCCGGTGCGTCAGGGGAGGGCTCAGACCTTCCTGAGGCCTCAGCTCATCACTGTGCAGGGGTGTGGGGGCCACCTCCCACCTCCTCCATCCATGCTCCTGCCCCAGAGAGCCTTGACATGGGGGACCCTGACATGGGGGGCTCCAGCATGTCTCCCCTACCCCCCAGCACAGTCTGGAGAAGGAGCCAGTCCTACGTGGAGAGGTGGCAGCAGAATCCACGTCTGTTAGCAGAGAAGAATGACCTTAGTTTTCTGGTGGACTCTTTAGAGTTTTCTTTATATAGTATCATGTCATCTGCAAGGAGTGACAGTTTACTTCTTGTCCAGTCTGGATGCCTTTTATTTCTTTTCTTGTCTGATTGCTCTGGCTGGGACTTCCAGTGCTGTGTGGAACAGAAGTGGGGGGAGGGGCACCCTTGTCTTGCTCCTGATCTTAGAGGAAAAACATCCAATTTTTCACCATTGAGTATGATACTAGTTGTGGGTTGGTCACATCTGGCCTTTATTATGTTGAAGTATGTTCCCCCATCCTCACTTTGCTGAGGTGTTTTATCATGAAACAATGTTGGATTTCATCAAATGCTTTCACTGCATCTATTGAGATGATGATGATGATGATAGATTAGGTAGATGATAGGTTAGACAGATAGATAATAGGCGATAGATAAGTAGATAGAGGATAGAGAGGTAGATGATGGATGACAGAGGAACGGATGATCCACAGGCAGGAGGAGTGTTATCACAGGAATCGGCTGGCAGGTGTGAGTCTGAGGCGGGGAGGCCGGGAGAGCGGGTGGTGTCATCCAGCCTGAGTCTGAAGGCTCAGGAATCTGGAGACCACGGAGAAGTTGGACGTCCCAGCTCAAGCAGAGAGAGTGAATCTGTCCTTCCTCTGTCTTTTTGCCTGTGGGGCCCTCAGCAGATGGGATGATGCCCGTCCCGCCCCCCGGGCATGGTCTCAGCCTTTACTCAGTCTACAGATTCAAATCAGATCCCTTTCAGTGGACCTCACAGACACGCCCGGACATCATCTGGGCTTCCCTCAGGCCGGCCAAATGGACATGCAGGGTTAACCATCACATGCGCTAAGGTTATGATCCGTTTGCATAAGAAATCGCCAAACTGTCTTCCAAAGTGTCTGTAATCATTTTTCAGCCCCAGCAACGGATGTGAGCTCCTGCTGCTCCACGTTCTCACCAGCATTTGATGTGGTCAGTGTTCCGGATTTCGGCCATTTTAATAGGCATTTAGTGGTATCTCACTGTTTTGATTTGCATTTCCCTAGTGACATATGATATGGGGCATCTTTTCATGTGCTTATTTACCACCTGTATATATATATCTTTTTGAGCAGGACTTTGGCCCATTTTCGGTTTGTTTTTTTTTTCTTAATGTCATTTTGACAGATCTTTGTACGTTCTGGACACAGATTCTCTCTCAGACGTGTGTTTCGCAAATATTTTCCCTAATCCGCGTCTTGTCTTTCGTTTGTCTTAACAGCGGCTTTCACAGTGCAGTTTTGTATTTAGTGAAGTCGAGCTCATCAGTTTTTTCTCTCATGGATCATGATATTGATGTTGTATCTAAAAGGTCTGGAGGCCATTTGCACAGCACGCATCTACTGTACCCCACGTTCCCTCACGTTAGGACAAGGATCACTGGGCCTTCTGAGCCAGGGCTCAAATCCAGGCCCACTGTCCCTTCTGCGGAGCACTTGGGTCCTCTCCATGCTCTGCCGAAGTTCTGTGCCTGCTCCCTCCCTCCAAAGTCCCCGCAGGATGGACCCCAAGCATCAAAGCCTCCCAGCTTCAGGGGACACACGTGCAGACACTAGAGGGCTGGGGGGACTCTGAGAGAGCTCGCCTGCCACCTCCACTCTCTCACCGCCTCTCCTAACTGCATAGTTACCAGATCAACTTCAGTTTCTAGAACGTGGAGAGAGCCTACATGGCACCTGCAAACCAGGCCAGACTGAGCTCCCGGGGGCTGCCAGGCCTGGGACTTTAGAATGCCAACCATTTCACACACATAATTTTATAGCAAAACCATAAAGTTCTGTTGGGTATTCAAGAGTCACCCTGTAATTTAGTTTTTACAGTAATTTATTTTTAATTGCAATGACAGTTGTCTGCCCAGAGATGATGCTCATAAAACTTTTAAACTATGACAGGGTTCAATAAAATCTGTGAGCATTTTGCTGCAAAAAAACATTAGACTACGATATACAACGGCACTGACTTCTCCCACGGAGCGGCTCTCTGATGGCGGGCAAGGACCCTGGGAGCTCGGAGCTGAGAGAAACCAGAGGCTGCCTGCACGTCCCCCTGGACCCCGCATTGCCCAGAATCACTGCCAGGACCTGGTCCAGCCGCGACGGTGCCTGGACGCCGAGGCTCTGTGGGTGCATGGAGGACACCAGCCCGCCCGCCGCGCCAGCCCGCGGGACGCGGACGCAGATCTTGTTAGGACTGGGTGGGTCTCTATCGCCCTTCTCCCGTCTGTCAGGCCCCTTGCCTCCTGCCGGCCTTCGCCACCAGCTTCCCTTAGGAAGTGACCACAGTGGGACCACAGTGGCGGATGGCAGGCCCACTGCCTGCAGAACCCAGCGGGGACAGTGGAGGCTGCAAAGTCCCTGGGGCCGCGCCAAGTACACCCCTAGAGCAGCAGTGGGACTCCACACGTATGGGGACTTCTCCCCGTGGCGACCACCTGGCGCCATCCTGGGTCGGGGGTGGCGTGGGGGCGTCCAAAGGTCCATCCCGAAGCTCCTAGGAAACGGGTCTCGGGCCTGTCCCCACCAGCGTCAACTTCCTTGTTCACTCTCATCGGCACCCCCGCAAACATTCAGCTCGGATGACCCTGATCCCGAGGGAAGACAGGTCACCTCCCCTGGCAGGCCCAGCTCAGAGGCCACCTCCTCCAGGCAGACTTCCCCAGCGTTCGAACCTGCAGAAGCTACAGACTTTCCCAGGGGAGGCCCGGAGCCCACTCTAGCACGCATGCGCCCAGCACCCCCTCCGTCCGCGAGCCCCTCCGCCTCGGGACGCCCTTCCTTCGCGCTTCCCCAGACACCTTCGCGTGGACAGCACTGATCAGGTCTGGTGCGGGGCGACAGACTTCGATCTGACATCACATTCACATTCAGTAACATCCTGGAACCTGAAATGTACCATCAGGGGCTTCTGACACGCGTGTCTACCGTGTGTCCTGGTCCCGCCAAGATGGTCAGCATCACCTTTAACCCGGGACGCTCCCTCCGTCCACCCCACCCTTCACCCACCTTTCTTTTTATCATCCATACGTCGCTCGTCGCTTGGCGGAGCTCCATGCGCCCCGCGACGCACCGGAGGATGCACCCTGAGCATCGCGGCCTCCTAGCGCCAGGTGCGGGCCCGCCACCAGGGGGCGCGCGGGGC